GGTGATGTCAGGGGGTGTGGCATATGCAAATAAGTTATGCTAATGAGTTATGCTAATGAGCTCCGGCAGCTCTTTTTCTACAACAAGACCCCTGGATATGATCAACACTGGAACGTAACTCACAGATTCCAAAGGTGGTGGGGTTTCATACAAACAACACTATGCAGATTTATTATTATTTTTAAAAGGTATACACTAGAGACCTGCTCAAGGTGAGTCACAAGGTAAACATATATATATAAATATTAGAACAAGCCATAAAAACAAGCTAGGTCCATAAAACGATACTCAGTAGCCTGAAACTAGATTCCTGAAACAATCCTCAGGCTTTAAAAATGAAACCCCCATTAGAAGCGTGGGTAAAAACATATTTTGGCTTCATACCCAAAAGTAAGATGGAGAAGGGCATTGCAAAGGCAAGGGACCACCACTGAGAAAGTCCTGCCTCTGGTTACTATCCATCTTACTTCTACAGACAGAGGCACAGAGGTAGGGCTCGGGAAGAGGCTCTGAAATGCAGGCTGGACATCTGGGCTTCTTTGTACACAGATTAAGCTCTGAGTGGCTCCCGTGTTGCTCAAATCCTTTGAGGACAGCAGGTTCCAAGAACCAGGCTGCAGGCAAAGGTGGCTTTTCAGAAACTTGCAGTCCTAAACAATTATACTCTTCTAAATCCTTTGTCTTCAATGGACCTAGAAGGGCATAACTCGATATAGGATTGCACTGCTGATGGCTATTTTGAGCAGTCACCATCAGTTATACTCTTCTATAACACTTCCTGCTGCACCCTAATAAAGACAAGATAAACTGCAGAAGTGTGACTAGTATGGCTTGCCCTCTGCACAAACAACAGCTTTCTGTGTTCTTTTTAATTTCTCACTCTCTTTTCCACTTTCCTGGGTGCCCATCAGATAGGAAAATTTGTAGGGGGCTCTGCCACTGAGCATATAAAAATACACATAACAATTTATTAATCTCTTAAGTAGCATACAGAAACAGCCTTCAAAATTTCCCCCACACACATAACAGTTCAAAGAGGTGCTTTATTTTTTAAATTATTCTTGAGCAAATTGTGACTGGTGGAATTATGTTAGGGAAGGGGTCCTAAATTGCGAATTACGCATCCCACTATCCACCATGCAAACAAATGCCCCCTGGTGAGAACATAAATGTTGCCCCTGCAGGATCAGACTTCTTCAACTCTAGGCCAGTGCCAGCGCTCTGTTTCTAACATCTGCCAGGCAGATGCATCTGGAGTCTCACCAAGTGAGTAGAAAAGTGATAGCTGTTCTTTTCCACTTGTTCCTGGCCTCTGCAAGTCAGAGGGACGTTGCCTCTGTACATACCGGCTTCCAGAACAAAGATTAGGGTAAAACTAGTTTCAAAAGAACTAGAAAAAATGGGGAATAATATAAAGACGTAAAAACTAAAAGGCAAAAAATGTGATTGGAAATGGGGGGAGAAACTGAAGCCGTATGGGGCCATAACTGATGGGAAAAAAACATGTGGAAAAGCTCCCACCTAAGCTCTTCAGACTGCAAGTGCTGAATACATGATGGGCTGAACAGAACACCATTCCCCAGATGAGGAAACTTAAGCATTGAACTAACAGCACACATTCACCTGTTCTACCCAACTAAACTGTGGCACTGAGTACAAGTTTAGGGGCTGACCCCTGACAACACTGTCTTAAAAATCAAGCCCCTGTGCACTTCTGGGCCTAGGGCTAAAGGGTAAGACTCCTGGCCCATAGCAGTTCTCCAGCTTCTTCTCTCAGCAGACAAAAATGTTGGAAGCCATGTTAGTTCACAGTAAAATCCATGTAATCAGGAGTCATTTCATAGAAAAAGAGGTGCAGGAGCTCATTAGCATAACTTATTTGCATATGCCACACCCCCTGACATCACCGGAAGTGTGTCAGAAGGCAACACCCACCGCTCAGGCTCCACTGGACTGTTTTGGATTGCTAGCTATGGGGTGGGGGGGAACGCGCAGATCTGCCATCACAGAGAAGGGAGAGCTTGTACTTGAAGGCAGGTGGGGCAACTTACCTGGCTGCTTCTTGCTCCTGGAAGCAGAGGGCGGGGTTTGTTGCATGTGCTCACCCCCCGGGCTCCTTACTGCCGGAGCTCCGCTCCTGTGCGCTCCCACAGGAAATGACCCCTGCATGTAATACTTTTTTAAAGACTAACCCAAAGAACACATCGTGCATGGTTTGAAGTTCTCCAGAACTACTCATTAGGCTTGATTTAAGAGCTCTGGAGAACTCAGAGGCTTGCATAATGTGCTCTGTTGGTCTTAATAAAAGTTAACACATGGATATTCTTCTCTTGGATCCAACTCTCTTAATTGCCAAGGCCAGAAACACAGGAGTCTATATTTTGAATGCACCCTTGAAACACAAAGTTGACTCCACAGAACAAGCAACATACTCCAAAAAAAATCTGTGGGTACTGGTGTTTGGCTTTAAGTTGCATGAAATTTTCTTTTTTAAAGTCACAACAAACTGTTCCTCAGGCCAGAAAAAAATGAAGGAGTTTGCAAAGTCAATGGTGCATTGTTAAACTGATGTTTACCTAACCATGTCTCCTGTCTGGCAGGACAAAGGAGCAGGAAGTTAATAAACGCCAAAAAGCAGATTACAGAGACAGGCTCTGATGGTATGATTCAAGCTGTAAAAAGACAAAGGCTGTTGTTCAAAAGATGCATTCCTATTGCAGCTGCCATCAGTAAAAGCATGGATTTAATTCTAGCATCATTCGGGCCTTGCATAAGCCCAAAGCAGAGGAAAAAAGAGGATGCAAATATCCTCCATCTCACGACTGCCAACCACAGACACTTTCCTTTAAGGTGTCTGTACCAGAAGTGGAATAACTTGGAGCTGTGCTAAGCAGTGGTTGGAATATTTGAATATATGCACCATGTTGGTCATCCCCCCTCTACCCAAGAGGATTGCTATGTCAGTAAAATGCATATGAGAATTCCCCACATCTGATGCCCTGAGCTCCTTGGAGAATAGCAGGATGCAGGTGATCTGACTACTACGGTGGGTCATTCACAAAGTCCACATGGCAGACACATGGATTATTGACAGGACATGGTCTCAGAGGTCTAGATTGAGAACTTAATTCCATTAGTGGTGTACCACCACAAAAAAGGCAGGTGGGGACAAACACAGAGAAGGGCCTGTTCTTGTCAAACAGGTAGGTGGTGGTGATCTTTCAAGTATTTTAGCTTAAGTAGTGGAATATACCCTGTGAGCTTTTAGCCAAATGCACAAGATATAAATCAATAAATGCAATGAATTCCCGTTGGCTCACACTGTATTTGTTCCCCTCCTCCAGCCGTTATCACCAGGGGTAACAAGACAGGGACTGGTGAATTTCGTTGCACAGGACATTCCAAGTTGCAAACACACACAAAAGACTGCCCAGGTTCTCATGTCTGCCAAAAATGCTTGTACAGATAGAAGTCTGAGAGTAGCACAAAGGAAAGACTTCACCCAGGACAATATCTGCTCATCCACCACCATTGTTATAAACAACTCAAAGACTGAGCAGTTTCTTTCCCTGCTGGTTCTAGTTTCCCCATTGGGATGAACACCCCTCAAACCACTATCAAGCGGGCTCCCTGTCCTCTCTGCACTATAGATATTCCCCCACTTCAAGGAAGAGTACTGAACTCCAACTGACCCAGTGGAGAACTTGCTTCCCGATTTCCCCTTCCTCCTGGCTGTGCGAAACACTTCTGTACCCATCAAGGCAATGGAGTAGTAAAAAGCCCCTTGCCTCCATCCCATTATCTTGAGCGTGCACCACCATAAATAATCTATTTGGGAGGAGGGGAGTGGTTTATGTCAAAGAGGCCTGGGCACAGGGTCACAGCAGCTGCCACGATGAAATATTCAAGACCCCCCTTGCAGCCTGTGCAGAAGGAGAGTGGCAAACACTTATTGGATCTGACTGGGCAGATGCCCCAGCGGAGGGTGGCGGTGGTGGAGACGGCAGCTTCACTCACGGAAATGGCTATGCCACGGAGGCAGTCAGTCACGCAAGGTGCATTGTCTTGGGCCAGCTGTAGTGGGAATGGACATAGGTGACTTCAGCTCAGAGGGAGATGCGACTCCTAGGAAAAATTCTCCAACACACCTTCGGCCCCGCTCTCTACTTCCTGTCCTGTTGATGACACTTCCTCATCGTTCTCTGTTCACAACCGAGTCCCATCTAGCACTGCAGTAGCCACTTGTGCATCAGAAAACAAGTTCTGCAACCTCTCTTCCCTCACTTCAGAAAGGACCAATGTAGTTTCAAAAAGTGATTTGTGTTTTCTCCATGCCCAAGCTCCACTTTTCGTCAAACTATTGTGATCTAAGACCTCAAAAAAGGTAAGAGCAGGATGATGCCATGGGTGGGGACAACAGAGGAGGAAGGGCCAAGCCCCACTTGTGATAGAGAAGTGGAACAGAATTGCCGTTTTCTTCTTTGTAAAGTTTCTATGCTTTCGACAACGGCCTGATACAGCTTAGGATTTCTGCCTAGCACCTCACGCCCTGAAGAGCTTTACCTACTGCACTTCTGCCTATTGTACAGCAGCAGGTGAAGGAGCAGGAACCCTGCCTGGATGAAAGGAAACAAACCCCAGCTCTGACTGGCAGGCACTCCCAGGCACAGCCTTGCAGCCCAAGAGAGTTTTTAATTGGAGGGACCAAAGCCCACCTCTCACCCCCCAACCCCGGCCCACTTTCAGAAACTGACTGCACAGAAGATGAGCTGCAGCTGTGTCCTTTGGCTTTGCAGAGATTTAGGGAGGCGAGAGTAGCCAGCACAGGATTTCCCCAAAGTAGAGAAAAAACAAGGAAGAAACATGCAAAAGAAAAGTGATTGTGTATTTCCTTCCGTTCCCATAAGCATCACGGAGGAATATGTCCAAAGGAATCCTTAGGTACCTGTCCCTTCCACACACACACACAGAAACAAAGAGCCACGTTCAAAAATGCCCTTTTATGACTCAGTGCAAAAGATAACAGGCCCTTTATGCAGCTGCAGGAACAGGTGGCTCCAGATCATTCACAGGAAGGTGGGTGAGTATGGGAAAGTGTGTGACGGAGGCACACCTGCTTTTGCTTTGGAGACCAGTGGAGTTCAGAAGGACCAAGAAGGTCCCTTCTTTGTACAGCAAGCATCAAGCATTTCTCTGTTCTGGAGATATAAAGTCCAATCCTAAATGCTGGAAGATTTCTTCTTCTGAGGCAGCTGACAAAAATATTTTCTGAAAAGGATTGAAAAGAAACAGAAAACGGTTACATTTTTAGGACCTTCGCCTATTCTCCTGCCTATCCCCAGTGCAGTTTTAAACAAAATTCTGCATCTAGATTCTGTGATCTGTCTAAATTAGCCAAAACTAAGGAACAGTTGTTTTAATTTCATTTATTTGTATCAGCTTCCAAATGGTAGCAGTGAACTTGAAAACCAATGAAGGCACTCGTTGCACAGCAACTCTTATTTTGCTCCCTCTGGTTGCATACTGCACCCTGGCAGCCTGCCAATTAGGAATGCTTCTCAGCCTCCCCCCCCCCAACCCACCCCCAACTTCTGAGGACAAAACAAGACAATAATGGGGGCTCTCAGTGTGATTAAGAATTCCATTATCAGGTGTGAGGGCGGCCCAATTTGAGTTGGGACCATGGCACGAAGAAAGGAAAGGTTAAGCTTCCCATGTGCCCTTTTCTGATTCTGAAAGAGTCCTGGGGAGCTGCTATTTGCCCGCTCCCTCCCTTCATGCCATGTTCCTAGCCCACATATGGGCCCCATATGCCCAGTAAATCAATTTTCAGAAACACTGGAGGCTCTGTTCAGTATCAGAGTTTGACCCTGAGTTTTCAAAGAAATTGGACACAGGCTTTCCAAGTTCTGTGAGTAGCTTTCAGGGTTAAAAACCTGCTTTCTTAAACCAACAGACTGCTCAATTACGTGAATGTGTGACACAGCAGCAAGCAACAGCTAAAGAACATGAGATAGAATAGCGGAAACAGCTAAAGAACATGAGAGAGAATAGTGGAAAAGGTTTCCCAGTCAACAGACAGTTTCCAGCATTTCAGATGGGGAAACTGATACCCTTTAAGGGCTATCTTTTCAAAATGGCTCTTATAGTGTTAGAATCAGGATACATCTACTACATTTTTATCTTGCCCTACCTCCAGGGAGGTTTTTTCCTCAGAACCTTGTGAGGTAGCTTAGGGTCAAAGACTAGATAAAGGTTAACCCAATGACCTTCAAGAATTTGAACCCAGACTACTCAGTCTGCTGTGATCTGTGAAGCACCAAAAGCTGAACACTGACAGTTGGCAGTCTTTTCTGGGAAGGTGCACTCCCAACAATAAAAGAACTTGAAGCTAAAGTCAGAGCTCCTTCCTTCCTCCTGATCTCCTCTCCTCAAAAGTCAGGCACCTTCTCTGTGTGATAAAGCGTGTGACTGTTGAGCACCATTTTCTTCTCATACTTGGAGAAGCGCCGGAGATCCCGCTCAAAATTCTGAAAGGCAGTTGGGGAGAGAGGAGAGGAAAGAAGTCATCTTCTAAGACAGTAATTCCCAACTGACTGTACCAAGAATTAACCCACAGCTCGAAGGCACTGAGGATACCCAATTACAAAGGAGTTTGCCTACATCCCTGCATAAGGCAGTTCTGGCCTGGCCTCCTTCCAAACAGCAACTTGAAACCATATCTGCATTGGATGCAGTTGATCATTCAGTCTATTCCCAATATAGAAATGCAACAGAATGAGGAAAAGCCATGTGTCCAGGTAGGTATTCTACAGAGATAAATCAAAGGTCCAGGTAGCTCAAAAACTGGTATCTGCTTCCTAGGATCTCAGCCGTTCAAGATGAAACATGGCAGCTAGATTGAACTGAACATCAGGAACTGAAACTTAAACTTCATGCATGATATCTCAAGTCCACGAAAAAAAAAAAGCTAAACTAGCAGGATGCCCACCAAATAGTAGGATATGTGGCCAGGGGTAATTTCGTAGAAAAAGAAGTGCAGGAGCTCATTAGCACAACTTATTTGCATATGCCACACACCCTGACATCACTGGAAGTGTGTCAGAAGGCAACACCCACCGCTCAGGCTCTACTGGACTGTTTTGGATTGCTAGCTATTGGGGGAGGGGGATGCGCAGATCTGCCTTCACAGAGGAGGGAGAGCTTGTACCTGAAGGCGAGCCGGGGGGGGGCGCTGGCCCAACTGAGGGCTGCTGGGAGCAGGGGGCAGGGCTTGTTGCATGTGCCCGCCCCCTGGGCTCCTTACTGTTGGAGCTCCGCTCCTGTGCGCTCCCGCAGGAAATGACCCCTGTATGTGGCTATATCCTATATCATTTAGCTTTGTCCCTTGCTTCCTTCCTCCTTCTCTACATCTCTTTCCCACACTTTGCTGCTTCACTGTAATCATTCTGCCTTATGCAGTTGAGGGGAAATGCCTATCCCAGCAGCTGTGTTATCACAATGCCCAAACAGTATAAATATGTATGGGAATATGGCAAGGAGATGGGAGAGTCCTTGCATGGGGATGGGGGAGTCCTTGCAGAGTGGTGTGGGTTTTGCTACTAAGGAAATGGGTCTGAGATGAGTGAAATGGCTACTGAGGTCATAAAAGGCATTGATGTCTCCATAAAGCAAGGGAAAGCAGTGTTGTTCCCCAATTAAATCCCTAAGTGGGGAAATAGACACAGATCATGATTATAGAAGATAATATCCTATAGAATGACAAACTGGCTCAAGTTCTTCTCAGGCTTATAAAGAGCATCTTGGAACTAGCAGAACTCCATCCCAAAACAAGATAAACCAGCACACTCACCTTTGAGCCAGTCCAGCCCAGCAACGCAAATGAAAACTGACTGTAAGGGGTCACAACCAAGTCAACCCTGACAGCTTTCCTATGATGGGCACCTCCAGAGCCCTTCAATTCACAGCCAGGCTCCTCAGTCATGGAGCTGAGGCAGAAAATAGAGAAACAACGGTCAAACCGATCCATGGTCGTCGCACTGACGGACAGCTCTTCGTCCTCAAGGGGCTGGAAGGAGTTTCTGTGGGTGCTGTGGTACAGCATGAAGCCCTAGGAAAGAGGTGGAAAGGGAAGGCACAGGCCTCTTGAGAAGGACAGCATCTGTATTAATCCCAGCCCCAATACAATATGTCGTTTTACTGGGTATCTCTGCTGACAGATGCAAATGTTTTGTAATCTGCTTGCTGATTGACCGAATAGCTCTGTTTTGCTAGGAAACTTGGCTCTTAGATTCAAAATATTGCTCTCATATTTTGATTTGACTGAATAGCTCTACCATAGCTCTATCATACTTGTAGTCCCAATGAGGAAGGAAGACTATAAATAAAAAAATTAAATATAGAGCCAGGATTCCTAGACTCCAGATAGTCAAGGGATCCTTTTTTCTCTGAAATATAATCGATTGGCATAACTCACTCTTACACCCCAAAAGATATAAGCTTTAGAATGTTGTAACAGTAACTACCTGCTTTCAGAGGTGCCCACTCGTAGTCTGTTTACAAGTCACTGATCTGCCAATGAAGACGCCTGCCCAAATCCAGGGCAATGACTCACACAGAGATACAACAGGCAGCCTCTTCTGAGAGCAAGCAGGTCTACTGTGCCTCTAGAGTAGAATGGAGTGAATGATCCAATCACATCTGAAGCACGAGCAGATTTACCTGCTCTCAAGCAGAAGCTATTTGGAAAAGCGGAACAGAGACTGCATATCACGTGATGCATACACACAAATGTTTCTAAAAGGATATCATTAAGGGATTTTTTTGTAGCACATAGTTGCCAAATTACCCCTAGAGTGCTTAATGCTCTTCATGAGCATTATCTGAGTAATCTCTCCTCCCATTCCACCACATCCGAATGTCCTTCCATCTCAGGATCTTCCCACAGCTCCTCACTTGAATGCAAGCCTGCTCCTACCTGACTATCCAGCCAGCTGACGACTTTGCTCAACAGCCCCATTTCTTGGCCTTCCGTAGGGTGCGTGATGAGCAAGTCCACATCATGCCCAGTTTGTTTTCCCCTATCGGAGAAGCAGAAAAGCCATCACAGATGAGGGAGAAGGAACCAGTGGTTTTCAGCCAACCCCTTCCCCACTGCTTACCCAGAACTGGAAGCCTCAACATCCTCTTCACCAGCCCAGTGCAGAACTACACGTTTTCTGTGGTTTCCCCTGTTCCTCTGGGGGCTTGATAAAAACGTAGATGCTGAGGCTGTGATTTGAGAGGGGAGACAGGCAGAGAGAGAGAGAGAGGTCTCCCCCACCCCATTTTTTCCTGCT